GATACACTTCACACCCACTGGGAGGGCTATGATAAAAAAGATAAACAGACAATAAATAGTTTTGATGAGGATATGGAGACTTTGGAACCTCCATGTACTGCTGGTAGGAATGAAAAATGGTACAGCTATTCTGGAAAACAGTTTGGCAGTTCCTCAAAAAGTTAAACATAGAATAACCTTATGACTAACAATGTCACTCAAAGAGAACTGAAAACATATGTCCATACAAAAACTTGTACACAGATGTTCACAGCAGTAGCATTCATAATAGCCCTACAGTGGAAACTATCCAAGTGTCCATTAACTGATGAATGGATAAAGAAAATGTGGTACATATACACAATGGAATATTATTCAGCCACAAAAAGGAATAAAATACTGATTAACCTTAGGACATGGAGAACCTGTAAAACATTACGCTAAGTGAACGAGGCCAGACAGAAAGGCCAAATTTGTATAATTCCACTAATACAAAAATCCCTGTATAGGCAAATCTATGGAGACAGAAAGTTGATTAGTAGTTGCCATTTTAGGGGAGAGGAGAATGGGAATCGACTGTCTAATAGGTATGGGATTTTCTTCTACGAGTGAAAAAACATTGCACAACTTTGTGAATATACTAAACCACTGATTGTATAAAATGGTGAATTTTATGGTATGTGAATTATATCTCAAAAAAATCCCTGCAGGGGTGTCTGGGTGGCTCAGTGGGTTAAGCCTCTGCCTTCAGCTCAGGTCATGATCTCAGGGTCCTGGGATCGAGTCCCACATTGGACTCTCTGCTCAGCAGGGAGCCTGCTTCCCTTCTTCTCTCTGCCTGCCCCTCTGCCTACTTGTGATCTCACTCTCTGTCAAATAAATAAATAAAATCTTAAGAAAAAAATCCCTGCATAATAAGGTGGAGCAACTTCAAGATGATTTCCCACATGAAATGGCTACTAAAAGGCATTTTTATTTCTATAGGGCCCTTTCAAATAATATTAGAATTAGCACATGGCAGCCTCATTTAACATGACTCAATTTGGCTCATGGTTAAATGACAAATCAGTAAAGCAACTGTAATCAAAATATTCATCTATATAACAGATTTTTACAAACATTCTCAACCTTTGAGTTACCATCTGGACTTCTAACGGAAAAAAACAAACACACTTTAAACTAAAAATTAGTTCACATATTCAACCTTATGTAAGTTTAGAAACACCCAGCAAAAACTTGTCAAACCTGACAAATAAATGTATACTTCAAAAAATAAGAAAATGATCAATTTGCAAACTCAAAATAATGGAAACAGGCAACGATCCTCAATGAATATGCTGCACCATTAGGTGAACGTTTTCTGGGAAGGCTGATGATGGACAGATCAAGCTGGCAACTCCTGAACTCACTAAACACTCTTAACACCATTCAGAATGAAACAAAGCAGACATTATAACCCTCATGCTGGATATGAAGAACTAAGATTACTTCATCACCACTTATGAAGCACATCTGCCAATATATACATATATGTATACACATGTAACTTGTTTCAGTCTTGTAATGTCAGGTGCAAAAGACAGCTGGGATAGAGGAGTGAGGTGAACAAAACGAGTGTGCAATCAACCAAATCTAGAATGCAGGAAATTTTGCAGAGCAAATGATATCGTCTGTTTTAACAATAAATTCATTAAAAAGAGAGGGGAACGGTTTATAAACAAAAAGAGGTTTATGAATCATATAATTTATCTTCCAAATGAGGATACTTTTGAGAGTGAAAAGGAAGTTCTATTTTCTTTTTTTTAAAGGAAGTTCTATTAATAATTATGCTAGACAACAGGCATGATCCGGGACCACTCAAAAGTCTCAAATACAAGGTATAGGCTTTCATGTTGTCAATATCTTTTTATTTATTATTTTGAAAGAGGATCCAGTTAGGGAATCTGAACATGAAATGATATTAAAGAATCACTGACATGACACTGTAACTAGGTTTTGTATTTTAAAAAAAGTCCTTATCGGGTGCCTGGGTGGCTCAGTGGGTTAAGCCACTGCCTTCGGCTCAGGTCATGATCTCAGGGTCCTGGGATCGAGTTCCGCATCGGGCTCTCTGCTCAGCGGGGAGCCTGCTTCTCTCTCTCTCTCTGCCTGCCTCTCTGCCTACTTGTGATCTCTGTCTGTCAAATAAATAAATAAAATCTTAAAAAAAAAAAGTCCTTATCTGTTAGACACACACTGAAATGTACATAGGTGAGATGGTATCTGTGCTTTGCTTTAAAACACTGGTAGGTGGCGGTGGGGGTAGGATGTAGGGGAAATATGTGAAACAATATTGATAAAATGTTGGTATGTACTGGAGCTGCATAATGGGTCCACGGGGATTTATTACACTGCATTCCTCCAATTTAAGCATGTTTGAAAATTTTTATAATATAATGTTAACTTAAAAATTTAACATCACCCAGCATGGCAGAACATGTTTCTGGCTTTGACTTCTTATAATGACAGATACACTCCCATAACTCTTACTTGCCAAAAAAATATTGGTTAGGCTTAGTCATAAAATGGAAATCTCAAAGGGAAATCTTTAAAGAAGAAACAGCTGCTTAGGCTCAAAGGAAACGTAAAAATCTGTTTCTGACTTTCCCACTGAAAGATGCTCTCAGAGTTCTTTTCTGGACTCACAGTGGGTGGTGATGGGGCATATGCAGGCACTGGGATTTGTAAGAACTCGGAGATGAGGTTCATACGGCTTTGAATATTAAACTGAGTCAGCAGCCCCAATTTGAGATTATCCTCTGTTCTTGGCAAAGTCATGAGTTTAACGTGTGCCAGACATAAAATTTATTTTATGGGGTATTAGTAACTTCAAAAACTACATCTGAATGAAGTCTCTATTGCCACTGGTAAGTGTATGTTTTAATTTTGTAAGTTTTGTTTTGTTTTGTTTTTGGAGAATTGTTTTAAATATGCATAACCCAAATCTAAAACTTCATCTAAATAATTACCCTTACCTTTTGAAATTCCAAAGAGAAGCAAAAGTATGCAGATTGGCTTTTAAAATGTCTTAATATTTGAAGCACGTCTTTTAACGGTTTTGTACTCACCTCCTGTTTAGACCAGTTAAACTAAAATTTTTCTTAGACCCTGGCCCAACCATTATTCATGGATTTTAAATGCAAAATAATACAAAAGTTCTTAAAATAGAATTTCTTTCTATATGTCAGATTCCATTTCAGGCACTAGCATTTATAGAAATTATAGAAAAGCCTACAGGGGAAAAATACCAGAGATATAGAATAACTAAAAATTAAATCAGTAGACAAACCATAAGTGACTCTTAATCTCACAAAACAAACTGAGGGTCGATGGGGGGAGGGGGATTGGGAAAGGGGGTGTGGGGTTATGGACATTGGGGAGGGTATGTGCTATGGTGAGTGCTGTGAAGTGTGTAAACCTGGCGATTCACAGACCTGTACCCCTGGGGATAAAAATATATGTTTATAAAAAATAAAATTAAAAAAAAAATTAAATCAGTTATGAAGAATGTGAAATAAAGTTGGCATGAAACCTCAAGAAATTTAAGTAAACAACTGTTATTTTCACAAGAAGCTCTTCCGTGGTTCAGAAGTTCAAGCTATCAAGTCTAAGAGGAAGTCTGCTTAAAACAAACAAACAAGGCAGATACTTAATTCCTGAGAAAAATGCTATCACCAAAATCATCTCAAAGTGCCTTAACTTTCACTTTCTTTCTGATTAAAGGCATTTAAATACATCTTTTAAGAAGGAACAAGGAAAATTAGGATACACTGAATAGTATTATATACCTAAAGCGGTCACCGTGAGTTTATGAGTCATGTGTTAGATTTGTAGAAGTGGGTTTACAGTGAGGTACACACCACGACATTTTTGGATCATAACTACCACAGGAAGCCAAGTCACACTTTCATATATGAAAAGTAAGTTTCCTAGACATATTATTTATAGTTGATTTACGCACACCCCATGACCCAGAGAAAACCCACGTCAACATGAAGTTAGCAAAGCAGTACCAGTCAGAGTAACAGTCAGCAAAGGAACAAATTAGGGTAGTAATGGGCTGTTGCAAAGAGCAGCACAGTGTTTCCATAAATTCAGTTAACTATATTGTAGTTTGGTGAATGCAGAGGAAAAGAGACTAAAGGAAGAAGTGCAAAATTAAAATTTTTTTAGGACCAATTGTGAGTAAAATAACTCCTGTAGGATTTCAGTGTAGCACTATGAATCTTTCTGTATTCTAATGTTACACAGGAGTAGCATAGCAGAGGAACATTAGTAATGAAGCTTTCTCCAAGTGAAGAGTTAAACATCCTAAACTGGATGAGGTTAACAAACAAAAACATAGTAGCACTTGGATGCACTAAATATGTTTAACTGGGTACCCCTGCTCTCCTATGCCACATGTTTATAGTCCTCGAAAACAGTGCATGTCCATAGCCACTAACTTCTTGCTTATATAGTAGCAGTAAAAATGAAAGTGATCTTTATTACTATTGTGTTGATAATAAAGGAGATTGAACTGATGTATGAATCAGTTCAATCTACAAAAATTCTGTAAGCCTTCTATTTTGATGTTTGTTACCTTACAATTATGTATCTGTTTCAGATACTGCAACACAGAAATGGTGTCAATACTTACTAGTGTGGTGGCCAGGCACACAAGACTTGTCACTGTAGCAAGTGGACACACAGATATTTTCAAGTTTATGGCATGATCGAGTTCATGATATGGGTACAGATATTCAGACTTTCAGCAAGCTGCTCCTAACGAAATGTCTACACTGCCCGAAGGTACGAAATGGTTAACGAAATCACCTCAAATTACGCACGTTAGCAAATCCAACTTCCTTCTGCATGACTGTGAAACAGGCGTTTTGGTCCCCATTTTATAAATAGATGTAAAAACGCAGGTTCGACTCCCTTGAGTCAGACCCATGATCAGGTTTTGCTGTCAGTGAAAAGAGAGGGGAGGCTTCACTTACTCTTCATTCAGGGCACAACGGCGATTGGTCAGAGTGCCGTATTTCCTCAGGGTTTCAGTGAGCTCGGAGTAGAGTTTGTCAGCCAGGGACAATGGGATTCCTTCCCACACCAGGATGAGAATCACAATCACTGCAGCCTCACAGGTGTGGCCAGCTCGCTCCCGCACCAAGCATAGCAGCTTCTCTTCACTGCAGCTTCTGCGAACCACCTGTGCGGGTCCCCATTCCACCCCAACACCCCCACCCCAACCAAAACAAAACAAGGGTCACTTGCGGCAGAGGAGAGCAACGATTTATGTATGCATATTTTTCATGTCTGGGTCACAATTAGGGCAACATTTGCCAGCACGTGCAACTTGCCTTTTGCTACCCATCTGTAAAATGGGGTTAGAACCCGGAGAGAGGCAAAACTGCTCAATGTTTAGCAGCTATACCAGTGCAGGGAGGGGCAATGACCCCTGCATTAAACCTAGAGCTATATGGAAGACATGCAGGTCTTTTTCACAAACTTCAAGGTTTTCAAAAATGACAATATAAAGATTAACGGAAGGTATTTAGAAGATTATGGATGACTTCACGTTCCTTGAAGAATCACACTTTTTATCAATTTGAACGGACCTCATCCTCCCCATTAAATTCTTTCAATTAAATATAGCTTGTATGTGCTTTAAAAGCTAATCTACCTTTTTCTTAAGAGCTAACACAAAATAAAAATAGGCAATATTCATTTCAACCGGCATAAATGACTCTTTTATCTGGTAACCCAATTCTCAGGGTTAGATTAATGAATCAAAACTCCCAAGACTGAAGACCAAAGGCCTTGTCAGGTCACACTTACCCATTTAGCAATAGGACATCCCTGAGAACTTTTGCCTTCTTTACCAGTATAGATGACTCTTTCAATCCTAATAGCTTTACCCTTCTGTCCAAACCTTAAAAGAAATCCACAGAAACACACACACATAAAATTAGCAAATGAAACTGAGGCAAACAAAATACTGAACATTTGAGCATAATTTTATTCTATGACCACACCCTGAGAAATGAATGGTTTAATTTATTTTTAAAAAATAAGTCTAAGCCAAGCAAACAGGATAACAGACTTTAAGCTTTGTATTTCTTTGGTATCAAAATATATTGATAACCGTAATGAACTATTTTGAAATTATATGTTGGGTGAAAATAAATGGGAAAGCTTATTTTTAAACAATTTCACAAAAGCACAAAACTTTTTTAAGTTTGTTAAATTCAGTCTTCTAAGATAGATACTATTTGATTTTTGTCCTTTACTAAATTTAGCTATTTTAAAACTTGGGGAATCACAACAGATTTTAGTTAGAACTGTTCCTCACAGAATCTCTACCATTTTTTAAAGATGGCTTGCAAATAACTAGTATTCAGCAATTTTGAAAATACAGGATAGTTCTAGAGATAGATTATATTTTCCCTTAGGACCATTTACTACTTGCTAATAACAAAAGGCATTTAGGGAAATTCACTGTATCTGCCAGGCTACTAGAGGATTATTTGTGAATTTCTACATACTAATTTAGAAATGGGTAACTTGTAAATTGGGCAAGAATGATACAAAATATGTCCTTGCTGCCCACAATGTCTAACGTATTTTAATGATAACACTGTCTGCTTCCTAAAGAAAAGGCCCCCTACCATAGTTAACAGCTCACATCTGTGGATACCTATTTGAAAGTCTCTCTCTGCATCAACTGTCTCACTCATAAGAGTCTTCTACATGCAAAACTAACTGTGTAGATTGAGGTAAATACTTGCCTACCTGTGACTGACAGTAAAAAAAAAAATGTAGCTATAAATAGAATCTGTCTCTATTTCTATTCAGCATCTCACACTTACCCTCTGCTCATACTAAGGGACAACTCTCTTAGAGATAACTACTCATTTACAGCTCTAGGTGCATTTAACTCGATGGTTCCTTTCTTAAACCACATCTCCCCTCTCTTTTTTCTCTGACACTTTATCACCAAGTGGGAAAGCCAGAGTGGGGCCTCTCTTTGCAGCCCGTGCCAGCACCCCTGTGCCTGGCATGCGGGCTGGCTGGTTCTCGTGCGTGCCTGGGTTTTCTGGCATCCATCTCGAAGTGGGCAGCCTGTGCCAGCTCGCAGACTATTAGTCCTGTCAAATATTGTGACTCTCTGGTGAATAGCACAGTGTGGAGCGCTGGCAACCCTAGAATAGCTAAGCCTACTAATAATTACTCAATTTACAATTGTTTACTGCTTTGTATGTGAAAGCTGAAAAAATTCTGACATATACAAAAGGATAAACGTTAATCTGCCCTGTGCCTTTGCGTTAATTACCTTTCTTCCATGATTTCTCTAATAGCTGCCACATTAGGACCTGCTCCTAGATGGGTATAAAAAGGACCTTCATCTTTTTCAATAATTTGCTCTGTTGAGATAATAGAAGATTATTATTTTAGACCTCAATTATACTAAATATAAAGGCTACATCCACAAAGCTTATCCCCCAACTGCACATTAAGGGCCCTAAATGTGACTTTAAACATTTTTTTTTCTTTAAAATGAATAAATTGATGGACTAATCTATTAGAAAATGTGCCAAATAATTAAGTATATGTACATGCTGGCTGTTGGATAAAAAATATTAAATTACATTTCAGATACGGAATAAGAAATTATTTATTTTAAACAAAATAAGTGGAACTAAACAAAACGGCGAGGGAATTAGAATATATTATATGTAATACCGACTACAATCCCGTTTTTTTTGAACTGAAAAAAAAAATTATAGCTGACTAGAAGCCTGCCTGATACTTGGATGTTAAAAGATTAAAAATAAAGTTTCCTGTTTTATCATATCCCCAGGATATTGCTGTTTTTATTGTCAAGGTACCTTTTTCTCCTCTTGTTTCTCCCCAACATTTAATTGTTGTGTTTTGAAAATAAGAATATTAATTCCAGACCCATATTTGTATGTACTTTAAGAAAAATTGATGATGAGGGAAAATACTGGAGAGAGGGTCAGGTAAGAGGAAGAGGTTCTTATAGACTACTGAAGATGGAAAGTGGGAAGAGAAGTTAGGGTCATCGGAGAAGGCTGTAGAGGATTAGAACTTACCTAATGTTATCTATGACATGTGTGGTACGGTGCCCCTGAGGCAACCTAATATTAACCACACAAAGGGGCGGTATGACTCCTCCCTCCATTCTTCTATAAAGTGTGGGGTGTCCATTGTAGGAGGAAGAACATGAGGTGGGTGGACCACTGGCCATATCAGTTTAATATTTGTCTTTTCAAATGTCTTTTACTGTATCCACACTGAGGGACTCTAATGAAGTCTTTATATATATTTTATATGTATTATATATATACATATGCATCTATCAGCCAAATGTTTCCCTATCACATATCTTGAATTTTAACAAAAACGTGTTTGAGGAAAAAAAAAACATATTACATATTTTCTATCAAAAAGATGACACTTTAAAGAGAAAACAGAATCAAAATGAATATAAATCATACAATATTTCAAGTGTGTAAATGAAGGGGAATGTCATGAGTATTTCGAACTTCAGCATTACAATTTTCCCCAACTCACCAAGATTGAAGATAATTTCCCCCCATCAAGAAATTAATGTTGTAAAACCACTAATACGTTCAACCTTGAATTAATACATAGGAAAAAGCTCCCACATTAAGTTGCAGATAGCAGTTATTTTTCTCATTTTAACAGATGTTTTTAGAGATGCCTAGGTGTCTCTCCAGGAGATGATATACAAAGAGTTAAACAGATTGATTAATCTAAAACAGAAACCTTTACATTTTAAAGGGTTTGATTAGAGGAAGATATGAGCATGCACATTGTTTTGATTTTTTTTTTTTTTTGAAAAACTGAATGTAAGTGAAGTTCTCTCTTGCACAGCACAAGCATCTGTAATTTAAAGACAAGAAATGTAAGCTTCAGGTTTTTTATGAGCCTTTACAACTTGCTGCCAGACTCAGGGTTTCTTTCTTTTTTTTTTTTTAAAGAAAGAAAATCCCATATCAGAAGATGAATTTGCTAATTCTGGATAAACACCATGTGTCTCAGTACATTTCTAGCACTTACCTACACATCTGCATGATGGGAAATCATACTGAGTCTTGACAGGTGTATCCAATAAATTTTTTATAGGAGTATCTAGTAATTTGGAAGGTGACTCTAAAAAATTATTGAGAACAGAGCCAGCTGTTCTTTTGGTGGGTGTCTTTTCTGAAGAAGGAGTTGCTTGCTGTTCTAGAGCTTGGGTGTGGCTATCGAGTTCTGCAGCTGTGGTCTGTCTAGTTAAAACTGTGACTGGCCCTGACATTTCAACTTTTACTTGCTTCTGTGATTTGAGAGTCAGAGCCCTATGGTCAAATAATGATTTGACCTGAAACTGCTTCAGATGTTGCTCCATGGTCTCAAGGATGCTCCTTTGTTGCACATTATCACAACTTGGAGGTGGAATCTCTTGCTTAGTTATCTTTTTCCACGTTTTGCTTTCTGGCTGTGCTGACGTGGAGCGCATACAGGTATGGGGCTTGGATCCAGGTTCAACCTTAATTGGTCTGTGCATCTGACTAGGACAAGACTCCGTATGGGGGTGTTGTGTTTGCTGCTGCTCTTGCTTTTGCAAGAGGTGCCACCTTAGAGCAGCATGCTTTTGAAGGTCCTTCTGGGGAGGAGTCTGAATGTGACTTCCTCCCTGGTCAGACGCAGGGAAAGCATTTGCCTGGTTTTGCATCAGGTACCTTTGCTGAGGGAGCTGTGCTGCTTGCTGGCCAGACGTATCTTGGTTTCTACTTCTATATCCCTGGAGAACTGAAGCTTGTGGAGGCTTCTGCTCTTGTTTTTGAAAGCACCTATGAAGAACGTCTTGCTTTGGAGTCACATTATTTGGAAAATATTGCCTGTGATGCAAGTTTTGGATCTTGTTTCCTGCAAAGAGTTCAGGATTTATAGTCTGTTCTTTATTTTCTGGAACTAGGTGTGTATTGTTTGAACAAGGAATCTGTAGTTTGCTTGGATTTAATTTCAAGATCTGACCATAGGGGGGATTTCTACTATTCATATTCTGTACTTGCTCCAATCCCATTTGAGTAGCATGAGTCTGGAACTCACTGGATTTCAAATACTGATTTTCACCATGGCAACATTCTTCCACTTTAATCTGGCTAAAGAATGATCCTTCTCTTTGCTGATTGTTGTTGCCTTGGGGATGAGAAAAAGTCTGGGGCATTTGTTCTTTATTCTTCATTTGTAATGTTTGCTGCTGCTGCTGGTTTTGAGAGATAAGCGAGTTCTGGGATGGTTGTGTTTGTGTTTGTGCTGCCTGCTTATGAGGCTTGTGTTGTAAAAGGTGTGAGTTTGAGAATGGCTCAGTCTCCGAAGCCTGCTGATTCAAGTGCTGTTTTAACGATGCAGGTAGGAGTTTCTCAGTTTGGGAATCTGGTCTTTGTTCAAAATAAAACCTGTGGGTGCACAATGACTGCACGTGAGCTTTGGATGAAGGGTCTGTCTTGGAGAAGTGCACCTGGAGTGAAGGTTTTTGGAACTGGAGCTGCTGGTCCAATGTACCTTGAGACTGCTCTCGATTCATCTCACCTTGGTACCTTTGTGGCCTCTGCTCTGGCTGCATTATTTTCTGGATGTAAGCCTGCCCTGGGAGTCCCCCAGGCAGGCTGGAATTTCCAGTGTATTGTTTGGAGGTCATTTGACTGGTGGGGTTGGACTGATACTGAAGAACTGACCACAGTGATACCTCATGACATTTTGGGTGGGATTCTGCTTGATGAAAATGAGGAGGCTTCAGTTCAATCCACCCCGGTTTCAGAGAGGGCTGTGCTGGGAGCACAAGTCCTCGTGTTTGTTCCTTGTCTCGACCCTTCGGAATATCTTGCTCTTTGTGTCCCATCATCTGCTGGCAGTGGTCTTGCGGATCCCCGCTGCTACCCAGCACTGGTGGGTTATGCATGATGTGTTCTGATATTTGTCTCGCTTTCTCAGAACATGCTGGAACTGTCATCGTCCCTGGAGTTTGTATGTCATTCTGGTTAACACAATTATTCTGAGGCCTTTCTGGAAGCATCAGAGAGTGGTTGGATGCACGTGTAGATGGATTAGGACTTGGGGATGGCCGTGCCTCGGGTTGACCCTCTATTTTTACTTCCCTTAAAAGAGCTGTGTTACTTTGGTTGGGGTAGTGATGGTGTTCTTCCAAAACTCCATCGTTCAGAGTGCTTTTGCCTTCTGAAGGAAGCTGAGAAACCTCTGGAAGAGGAGGAAGGGGAGAAAGACGCAATTGTGATGGTGGTGGTGGTGTGGTAGGGGCAGAAAAGGAATCCTTAGTGAACACTGAGCTTTGCTTGAAGTAAGCACCATTTGTTTCATTTTGCTTTAAATACCGTTCAGGGCTGCCACCAGGAGCCTGCAAATTGCTGCTGGAACCTGAACAGAATTCTTCACCAGATACCAGCTCTGTGGTTCCTTGGATGGTACTGTTTTCCACACGTGACGGGCATCTGTTGAAAACTGATTTTTGTTTTTCTGGTTTCTGAAAGGGACAGGTCCCTATCACTGCACCTGTCTTACTGGCTTTGTCAGCATCACAGGCCTCAGTCACCACTGCAACTGGCTCGGGAGGCAGCTCAGAGTTCGAGGTCTGTGGGACATTGATCTGCCCTGAGGTATGCGATGGGTGAGTGATCTCACAGGACAACTCATTAGTAGCCTGACTGTTAATGGCATGTATGTGAGATGTGGTTTTCTGCACCGCAACGGAAACACAATCTGGATAATATTGAGACAGTGTTTTTTCCAGGAGTTCACCATGTGTGTTTTCCATGGAAGAGGCAGAAACTGTAGCACCATTAGGCATTAGCACTGCCTTGTTTTTAAGAAGTAATACAATATTCTTGTCATGGTAGTTAGCATTTTTCTCTTCTTGCTCATTCAGAATCTGAAGCTCTGGTTTTTCAGACCTACTGCAGTTATGTGCTGAAAAACTGATGAAATCTTTAACTGCATTTTCTTGGGCTACAGAGCTCACAGATTCTCTCTTATCACTCAAATCGGAGACATTCATTTGACTGCTGCCTTTGCCTGGATTTCTTTCTTGGCTTTCCCCGAAGTTCTTTCTTTCTCCATTAGCCTTTTGGTCTTGTCTCAATTTCTTGTTCTGGTGAAGCCCAGAGAGGGAAGGTTCACTAACTGTGCGCTTGATTCCTCCGTTTTGTAAGCATCTGGAATACCCTCTACCTTCTTGTATAAAGTCCGGACTCCCGCGACTGTTCTGGCTTCTCTTCATAGGGGGTATTCCATAGTAACTTTTGAAAGACTGCCACTTGGTGTCTCCATTTACTTCTGAATAAGGTCGCTCAGTTAATGGGCTTCCATTCTGGAGCTTTAGAACCAGAGGTTCTGTCTGGCATAAGGGAGAAGGAGATGGTGTCAGGAATGGACTTAGTCTGTTGCCCTCAACATGGTTGGTTCTGTCCTGTTCCATCAGGCTTGCTTCGGGGCCATCCACGAGGCTGCCCTCTGAATGAATTCTAAAGAGCAGGGAAACAGAAATTGAAGTTCATTAATACCTATTAGCACTAATAATAAATCTGGAAGAATGATGATGGCATTGATGATACTGAAATTCCTAGACATAGCAAACTGAGATACTCATTTTCATGTTTCAGAGTGAAAACCAACAGCTACTCAGGAACTGATTATTCTTGCCTTCTGAGCAACTCTCAAATATTAATGGTCATGGAAAAGAAATATGATCAAAATCACGAGCTAATGTGGGAAGTTCATACTGTATTAGTGAAGAGAATCAGCTTCCTTCTCAAATAATTCTTTCTGTCAAAATGCTAAGAAGAATAGAGAAGGATTACCTCCTTTCTACCTTCTCTAGTATCTTATTCATCCAATCACTTGCTAAGGTTTATCAATCCCATTTCCTATATGTTCCTTGAATTATCCCCACTGATACTTGGTAACCAGACCTACATTATTTTGCTTATTTGTTACAGTAGCTTTTTAGATGGTTTCTTCCCCAGCCCAGACTGTCCTCTCCCTAGTCCTTCAAGGTTCCTTCAAATCATTACCAAAGGGAATGTTCTCAGTGCAAATCTGATGTCATATCCTCCTTAACATGCTTTTCTGGCTCCGTATTTCCTGTATTAGGAGTTCTCAAACTTTTTCACCCACATGCCTGGAAGACAAGAGGTGCTCCCTTAAGTGTTAATATTCTAGCAAATGGAATCGGGTGAGAAGTGCTGTTTATACAAGACGGGACCGGGAAGGGAGACAAACTGTAAGAGACTCTTTTTTTTTTTTTTTTTTGTAAGAGACTCTTAATCTCAGGAAACAAACTGAGGGTTGCTGGAGGGGAGGGGCATGGGAGGGATGGGATGGCTGGGTGATGGACATTGGGGAGGGTATGTGTCATGGTGAGTGCTGTGAATTGTGTAAGACTGATGAGACACAGACCTGTACCCCTGAAACAAATAATACATTATAATATTAATTTAAAAAAAGGAAGTATCATTTATAAAATGTCATTTCTAGGTGATTCTGGGTCTTCCTCCATAGGGGCTGACTGCCCACTTCTACTAAGAATTCCTACCTGATCCAAATGGTTTTTCACAGGCAGATTTCTGTTCTTCTTTCCTTCTATTTCCTCTCACAGCTTATACTCCAAATATAACAACAGCTTATAAATACCCAAACATGGTAAATGGTTTCAGGCTTCCATGCTGTTGTTTTGTCCGGCTAGAATGTCTTCTTAGTCCCCTGATTTGCCCAGTGACTCATATGTGTCTGAAACAGTCTCAGGTTATTACTTCCCTTATGATTCCTTCTTTGATTTTCCAAAAACAATTAATCACTCCCATTTCTATGTTATTTCTATATCTTGTATATGGTTTGCTGCTGAACATATCATACTTGAATTTATTTTGTTTATACTCTCTGGACTGTGAACTTCTTAATAATCTACTGTGTTTTGTATAGAGTGAGCATCCAATCAGTTTCACAAAACTGATATGAATTTGCTCATCTTACAATCATTTCTTCATTCACTCATTAATTCAAGTATTTTGGAGACCAATACTGATGGAGATTTCAAAGTCTAAATGATTGGAGTGCAGGGAGAAATGGGCACTAAAAAATATAAATAATCTATAAAGTGAATGCTGCCCCATTCACGATACAGTCATGTTTTATTTTCCCACAGTTTTTCTATTGCATTTATTTTAAGGATGTAAATAAAAAATCTAGGCTATTTTCCTTTTGGGCTATAAAAAACTATTAAAATAGCCATCGCCTACTAACCAAGACAAGTGAAAAAGAGGAAGAAATAAGACATAAACATTGGAAAGCCAAAATAAAGTTATCATTTACAGATAATAAGATTGTATATTGGTCAACCAAGAGAATCAACTGAAAAACTGTTAAATTTATGAGAAAAGTACTTGATTAAGAAAATCAATAGCTTTGATACATAAAAGCAACAACCAGTCAGAAGCTTTAGTGGAATAAAATACTGTAACAGAAAAAACTATTCTTAAAACAGTAGGAATAAATATAACAAGAAACATGGAAGGACTATTTAAATCTTTAAGACAGTATTGACAGATATACAAGAGCAAAACAAGGAGAAAGGTATACTATTCTTGGGTAGTTGTCAAATGAATTTATTAATTTAATATATTCTCAATGAAAACACTGGCAGAATGTTGTGAAGAATTAAAGAACCTGACTCTAAAGTTCATGTGGAAAAATAAACAAACTGGATAACCAGGAATAACCTGAAAAAGAATTGTAAAGGGGCCTGGGCAGGGCAGTAACCAAATTAAAAGATACTAAAAAGGAACAAAGGCTACTGTACTTCACACAGCTTGTACTTGGAAATCAGTAAATTAAAGAGTGTTAATAAGACCAATGAAACAGAACAGAATGTACAGAAATCAATTATAACACACAAAAATGTGGCATCCTGATGGCACTGCCAATCAATATGATATTGGAACTGGATAGTCTTCTGAAAAAATGATGAAGTTGGATCTACCCCTAACATCTTATACCAGAATGAATTTTGATAGATTTAACAGTTAAATATGTAAAACAAAACCCTAAAAAAATCTATAACAGTCTGAGAAAACTTTTAAAAAATATAATCTAATGACTGGGTAAATTCTTTATGACACAAATTCTAGAAGCCATAAAAAATGAGAAAGTTCAGTAAAATTAATGCATGCAAAAATAAACCCATAAATAAAATTAAAAATCATATAAACCTTTCTTAATATACAGAACTCTGAGAGATTGACAAGGGAAAAACCAATCATTGAATAGAAAAATGAGCAAAGGACATGGACAGTTCACAGAAAATGAAATGCAAGTGGCCTTTAAATGTTTAAAAAGATGTCTAGTACAACTCATAAAAAGAAATGTAAATTAAAACCTCAGCAAGATACAGTGTTTTTTTTTCTCAAACTGGCAAAGATCAAAAAGTTTGATAATATGAAATACTGGCAAGCACATGGGGAAAGAGACACTCCCTTGTGTGGTTCAGGGGAGTGAAAACAAGTACAAATACGATGGAGGACAATTAAGTAATAATCTACAGAGTTTCAAAGAAACTTTCTTTGACCCTTCAGTTTTAATAAGTTATCTAACAAATATATATATGTTAAGTGATGTATGAACAATCTCTTGTAATAGTAAATGGTTGGAAACAACCTACATTTTCAGGTGTAAGTATTTCCACATAATTAAATGAAATATAGCAAGCTACAGAACAGTATGTGTAAGAATGCTACAAGTGTGCATTTACAAAAATAAATATAAAATCAGCTCTGGGTGGATATACAACACAACTGTAATAGCATTTTACATCCAGAAAAAAGACTGAAGAGTCTAGAGAATAGCACTGGGAAAGAAACTACATTTTATTATTATATTTGTAACTTTTAGGCATGTATATTACTTCTAGTGAATAAAACTTAAACTGCAAAGTCACAATTCCTATTGGACAAAGAAAACAAAAGAGCAAAGTGATTTACTTCTGCTAGACCAACTTCCTACAGATGTTAAGAGTTGGGTTAGATGTGCATAGCCACTAGTTACATATGGCTCTGGGGCCCTTTAAATGTGGTGAGCACAAATGAAGATGTACCCTAAGTGTAAATACGTAAATACACGCTGGATTTCAAAGCCTTTAGTGTGGATAAAAAAAAAAACCAAAACAAAACCAAAACAAAACAAAACCCTTGATTTTTAAAAACATTTATTATATGTTGAAAGAATACTATTTTGGATATTTTAAATAAAATATATCATTAAAGTAATTTCATTTACTCCTAAATTTTTACTTGTTTTAGTATAAGTAGTGGAAAATTTTAGATTTCATATATGGCTTATGTTGTATTTCTATTGGACAGCTCTGAGCTAGACTAATAATCTTAATCATCAATAATCCTTAATAATAAAAAACTTAAGGTTCTGGAATCATGAATGAAAATTGATTTGTAGTCTTTAATGTAAGGGGTTTCTGCAAATCAGGGTCACTACCACTTTTTAAAAGTAAGGAGGACAGAAATAAGCCTAGATAAATTCTTTAGGGACCAGGCCAATTAGCTTTCCAAATACTGTAACAACTTCTTTTGGCAACTGTAAAATCATCTCACACTCATACCAATCAAAATATTTATATATACACACATATGTACATTTATTTTATGTTATATAAAACTTGCAGGCTCCATATACAGTATATATTGTTCAACTTAGTTTTCTAGATATAAAATACTGTAAGCATTTAACACATTATTCTCTATTATGGTCCGTTCCACATAATTTGGACATTCTTTAAAGTGTCAAGGGCAGAATTATAATAGATGGAGTTTGCAAATCTTTTATGAGCATAATAGCGCCTAAAAACAAATGAAGGTGACTGAAAATGAAATTTATTTCAATATGGAACTTTAAACACAATACCCATCTTTAAATACTAATTTAAACTATTAACAGAACTATTCTGAATGTGACAGCAATTTCCTTACTGAGTATAACCACTGGATATGAAAAGCTGAAGGGTTAACTTTTTTAAGGAGAGCAGGAAAATTATGTATTATCTTTTTATTTTAGGATGAGGATAGTTTTTTTGAGGATCACTCATTACTGGTTTATGGATCTGATTCAGAAAATTTTAACCAATAAAGTGCCATTGAAGAGGAATATATTCTATATATTCTAATATATTCTATAATTAATATATTCTAAATCATTTTTTGTGTACATACCCCAGAAAATTACATGATCCAGTAATTTAGTTGTTAAAAGAACACTTTTAATTTTATACCGACACTGGTAATTTTATATTGACACTAGCAAGCATTATTTATTTTTAATAAAAGGAAGAAAGAAAGAAATGAGACCTGTTTATGTTGCTCATTGTAGAAATATTTTAAAAAGCATTGATGCTATCATCTTTACAGTGTCCTTTATGTAGTTTTCCCAAGCTTATGAAAATCAATAATTTGTATATAAAAGA